AAAAATCATTGTATAACTTATCACATCATTCTTCATTTTTGGAAAATAATTTTTTTTTTTTATTTCTGTAGTGGAATATGTTGAGAAGTGGACGAATATTGATGTTTATACCCCCGGCCCTTTGGAATCTGCAGATGGAGCTGCTTATTTGACCATTGCTTTGTGTTCGTCGAGAGTAATTATCTTATCCTTAATTATTATCTCGCATTTTCGTGCCATAATGCTGTGATATGTGAAGAGTTCATGTTTGAATTTAAAATAGTGGTTCTACTACATGTCTATGATATTTCAAAGCACAAATCAATTATGAACCACAAAGAATTACAAATAAATCATGCATATTAAACTCTTAATAAATCAATAAAAAGGTTTTTCTATATAAGGAGAAAAATTATGAATCTATTAATTAGCGATAGTGGATAATGATTTTTTTTTCACATCTCATAAATAACGGCGAGATCCGGTAATAATTTCACGAGTGTAGCACATGAATCCATGGAAATTAATCCTACAATTTTGTGATTTATTCAAATGCAAAAAGGACTAAAAATGCGGTATTGGTACTCAGATGCCTATATATATTAGACCTATTTAAATGCAAATAAATTATATTTATACTCGTTAATTATGAGTTAAGTAGTGTTGTTTGAAAATAAATATTTCACTTAAGTATTCATTTAATTCTGACCATATGATTATTTATATTATAAAAATATTGTATTGTTGACCCAAACTGCTGTTTTAGTGTTTTACTTTCTTAATGTCTTATATTAACGCTTATTCATTTTCTTTTTCATAATAATTACCATGGTGATAGGCCAAAAACAAAAGGGTGTTTTGATATATAAATATTGAATGTTGAAAGAAAGTGGAGGGTTTGCATGGTTGCAAGGGCAGTGCTCTCCTCGGGCTGCGAGTAACCCACGTGGATCCTACTTGGCGCACAATTCTCCATGTCCAACTGGTGCCGAGACAGCGAAGCACACGTGTAGAATGTCTATCCCACGTGTACTTTGGGTCAAAGTTACTTTGTTTTTGGCTTGATCTGGTCCTCGGTCAAACCTCACTTTCTCCATAATCACGTTCATGATACTCACTATATCATGTTTTTCTTATAATGGTAAAATACCAATCAACACACTTTTCGCTTTTCTTCTCCCTCCTTTGGCTTCCTCCCACTTTCTTACCCAGCATGCTCAGTATACCCTAGCTGTCTTAGGTTGTGTGATTCTTCACACGTGCATGTGCGACCACCTTGAAGGAACAGTTGCAGAGCCAACTTGGTTTTTGATATTAGTATCCGAGGTGAGCATTTTAAAGACCTGGCCATGTGACCGGCTGAGCTGGTAATCATGTGATTAACGGTTAAACGAATCATTTAATTGGTTGGGTTGTATCGTTAATCGATGATTCAGTTCCTGTTGGTTTGCACGTGCGGTGAATGTAGGGGCTCTTTCTCGTATTGTGGAATTATAAACACAACTTGTGCTCCAACGGACATGAATACCCTTGGTTAATTACTCTCAGAAACCTCACATGTGCATGGGTTGGAGGGTATAACCGGAAAGATAGTGAATGGATTTGGGATGTGCTAGTGTTAAAGCATGTTTTGGTCCTTTTGGACGGTAGAGGTTTTAAATAAAAAAAATGGGGGAATAGCAGAGAATATGTATTATGGCACATGATGGTGCAATGATTTTTTAAAACTTTCATGATCTGGGGGTTAGCTGATTTCTTTATTTATATAGCATCAACGTTGGCTTACATTAACCCAATCATTTCGCTTGTTGATTCTTCAAATGATGAAAGGTTTCTATGTAATTATATGAAGCGTGAAACAATGATTATTGTAAAACAAATAATTATATTCTGTTTGAATTCCTTTTCCCTTCTAAGATTTCTTTCTTTTTTCTACATTGAATATTTCTTCAAATTCAACGATGATTCACAGGCCCCAAATACTGGGGAAGGCCCACACAGAAATAGTTAACAAAGATAGGCGCCTTATTGAGTGCATGATAGGGCCACCTTGTTTCTTTAAATAATGCATAAACAGGTAGCCTATATGCAGGTGTGTCCCCTACTGTCCAGATTTAGTGAGCAATTAGGGAAGCTTTTTGTGGGTGTAAAACGTGGTCTACTTGCATTACCAAATTATAGATATAGATTGCCTCTCAGTTGATTACTTGCTTTAGAATATCTTTTTGTTCCAAGCGAGAGTTTTTTTTTTTTTTTTTTGGTTGCTGGCAAGCATCACACGAAGTTTCCAACCATCTGCTCGCTTGAGACCTAAGATTCTGACCACGGTGTTTTAATTGCATCTTTTTTTTTTTTTAATTACATCATCTTTTCTTAAGCGATAAATGTGTTATGGTTTAGTCTATTTTGATGTGACCATGTTTCTTAAGGTTAATTTTATTTATTTTATCATATTTTTGTGATTTTTATCACTATTGATCACTTATTCTAAATTCTTATTGTTAAATTTGACATGTTTAAAAATAGAATGAAGATTTTGAGGGAAGTTACAAAACCAGTAGTATGAATATTCAAAATATTGTTTCATCTAATAGAGTCCAAAATTTTCGATTCAATGTTCAAAATTAACTGCTTATAACCTTAGAGGTTGAAGTGAACGAAGGTACATTTTGTAAGTTTATCAATAATTGCTTACCACCAAAAAGCACACTTATTTATATTAAAATGGACTAAATGAAAAGTATAATTTTAAAATAAAAAATGTAATGTAATTTAATTTTTTTTAGAGAAATGGAGTAACAAGTGTGCATAAATTGACGGTTGTGATTACTATCATATTTTAGATTTAATATTTGTTTTTGTTTTTGTTTTTGTTAACTGTGAATAAGTCTAGGTCACTAGTCACTAGGCCGAAAAAACTGAGCCCAAAGCCAGTAATGCAGCAGTGCAGCGGAGACAGTTGTCTAACGGACCAAACATACCTATATTTTATCATATATTGGGCCCATTGGTTGTTTGCGATCTTCTACGGGATTTTATTTGCGGTTGAGCATCCAAATTGGTCCAAAAACAATTGTCCCAGAATGTTTCATTAAGAAAAACTACAAATCCAGGAAGTCTGGTGCCTCGGAAGCCGATCATGGTAATGTTATGTGTTGATAAAAAAAAAGAAAGAAAGAAAGACAATTAGTGAACCAAAAATATTTAACCGTAAGAATTTTAATAAACAATTATATTTATGATCAATTATTGTTATTATCATTAATAATAAAATTTAAAAATTAGATAAAAAGTGATTTTATGGTAATTTATTTTGAGTTATTTAAGAATATGTTTGGCCTAAAACTTTTGGAAGAAAAGAAAGAGAACGTTGTTTTAGGATGAAAATTTATGGAAGGAGTTAAGAGATTCGTAAGCTTAAGAAATATAGAGAAAGAAAGAAGAATGTAAACGAGAGAGAAATGAGTTGCCATTGAGAGAAAATGCTTGTAATTTTTTGATGGTTTTGATACATTACGAACATGTATTTATTGCTATTTGTATGAATATGAACAAAATGTATATTAATTACATGACTCTAAAATAAGATTGTTTTATGCATATGGGGGAGATGAGTTCCGATCCTTAACTAAAATATGTTATTTTGGAGATGTATTCTCGTGACATTCTATGGAGTATGAATACGTTCAGTCTTTAAAAAAATTGATCGCTTACATTAAGTTGATGGTTTTGAATAACTTTTAATGTTGATGAACAATTGAAATTGCATCGCATATTTTAGAAATACATGATCTATGTTTTAAATGCTTCGCCTTTACCTCCAATATTTTAGACCAGTCTCATACTAAGTTGTATGCTTTGTTTCTAAAGAAATTTGTATTACTTTGCAATGTCCTAGTGTTGGTTTGGTGGTAATTCTGTTTAGCTTTTGTCTTTTTCTAATGGGTGATTATGTGCACCCTCATATTTTTCATGTTAACTTAGATGTTGGTTGCACTTCAGGTATATGCTCATGTTACTACCTTTGTTGAGTTGTAATATTTCATCTGATTAATGATTGACATAAACGTTCAAAACACACATATTTTTAATTTAAAAAATTATATATAACATATAATAATAAATATATTATTAATGTATTAAATTTATCTTAATATATCAATTTATATTTTTTATTTTTAAAAATATTATTTTTATGCATTGTTTATGACAGCTTCTGATCATAATGCTAAAATTATAATATAATTATAAAAAATAATTTACGAATACTCTACGAGAAAATGTCACTCTTATTCGTGAGTTATGTTATTTCAAAATCTTTTTTGTTTATATTCTTTTCTTTCTCTTCATATTATATCAATTCATCAAAGATTTAAAAAGTGGTACTCCCTGTTCCCCTTGCAGTGTGCAAAGAACATTTTCGTTTATTAATCAAATGTCTTCAAAACTCCCCCATTCTATCATGCTCGAGTTAGAAGAATGCAGCGCTGCTTCGTATTTAAAAGCATATTCTTGGTTGCCAGCAGCACAAAGGAGACCAAATAATAACACTATAAGTAAAATAATTCTATTTTTTTCCTTCCACGGATGGTGCTTCCTTAGTAAAAATTATTCCACCCAAAAGCACACAAGACTAAAACGATGCCAAATATTACACGCTCAGAAGCAAAGCCTTTCTGCCTGTGCAAAGAACAATTCAACATTCACTAACCACACAAATCAAAAGTTGTGTCATGATCATAGTCATTATACTGCTCCTGAAATTGTCTCATTAAAATGAGTGGAGGATTCAAATACTCTGTGACAACGTTTATTTATTGAAAGTGTTTGGTTCACATCACCTCCTTTAGCTCTTATTTTCTTAACCCATTTCAAATAATTTCATTTGTTTTCTTTTTCTCTCAATCTGTAACGTGATGTGACATTATATAAGAGGGTGTAACAAAAAAAATGATTTGAAGAATATACGGCTCAGTACATGGCTTGATCATATTTTCCCATTGAAACAACATCAGAACTTGAAATCATAACCAATAAACATCATGTTCTAGCAAAGCAATTAGTTTAAATGTAGCTAATATCAGTGAATCTGTCTACACCGTAATTGTAAATTTCTTGGGGGAAGTAGGACACGATACCAATGACAACCTTAGATCCATTTTAAGTAATGTACATCCCATTTAGTAACCAAAATACCTAGGAATCTTCAAAATTACCTTGTGGAATTTCTAGCAGCAATTCGTGCACTCCTTTTGATAGACTCAATTCTCTGAAGTCTGATTTGCTCTCTGAATTTGGCTATGAACTCATCAGCCTGCTTATCTACATCTACTCCTTCATCACCATTGCTGCTGCAAGGTCCATCCATTTTTGAACTTTCCCCACTCTCTTTCTCAATGACTCTTCCTTCAACCTCTTCATCCTCAGTTTCCGTGTCTTCATCTAACTCCACAATCACCTTGTCAATAAACCTTTCTTTTTCTTCCTCTGAAGCTGGCTCTGACACAGGAGGGACACTTGCATGCCCCATCAACTTGTCGCTTCTAAAGGACACGTGCTTATAAGTCTTTCTTGTTGGCTCTTTCACGAAATATTCTTCAGCTTCTTCTTCCATTTGGCTTTTTTCTGACCTTTTCATTCCTTCTTTGCTCTCTCCGCTGCTCCTTAATGTTGTCACTGAATTCTTCATTGACAAGTTTTCAACATGGCCCTTTGGTATTACTTCTATTTCTGAATCAACTCTACTCGTAAATCTACTCCCACTGGTCCACCGGTTCAAGTCACGTCTCTCACTTGTGGAGCTTCGCTTCAATTCCTTATCAAAGGAAGCATCTTTATTGAATGAACTAGACTTTGGTTTCATTGATATTGATTTCTGAAATATGGGTGGGGGTGGTGGAGGGGGAGGAGGAGAACTAAACTTGTAAAAGCCCTTCTTTCTCATCAAATCCTCTGCGTTCTTGGCAAGTGATTCTGATGAGAATGAAGGTGAAGGAGATGATGCACCCTTGGGTGAAGAAGACGCGGAACTGGGCCTAGAAGAAAGTGATTTTTGAGATTTCAAAGAACGATATTCCACCTTGTTGAATTCAGTTTCCTTATCCATTAAAAGTGAAGATCTCCATGGGATAGGAGAAGGAAGCACAGTGTCTTCCTTCACTTTATCTTCAACTTTTGCACTTTCAAAACGTTCTAGCTCTCCTCCATACCTAACTTTATTTGAATTGCTTGAAACTGAAAATCTTTTGGAGCCTGATTTAGATGTTGCACTACTAGGAGATGCAGATTGAACAACACCACCAGGGTCAGAAGAAACACGAGATTTCAAACTTCTAACGGGTAAGAGCAAGGGCTTTTCACCAATTCTCGAGCTTGTAGCACTCTGCTGTTCAAAATTAGAGTGCTTTGAAGCTATAACAACTTTTGGTTCATTCCTGTGATACTGAACACCCCATGTTTGGACTTGGATTTCATCAGACTCAGATTCAGATTGGCTTTCATCCTCGAAAAAAGATGACACGTGTAGAAACCTAGAAACAACTAAGTGTGCGTTATCAAAAGTTGTGTTGTTATCTTTCTCTGATTCATCGTTTGGACGACTAAACAATCCATAAGAGATAGCAATACCAACGAAAAGAAGGTGCAGGAGCTCCCAGTTTCGGGTGAGTAGAGACTGGTTGATGAATTCAGGAGCTTGTGAAGGGAAGAGTGGAAGAATAACTAAGAAGATGGAAACTATGACAGCTTTGTAGAGAAAATGATAATAAAACTTACTGGGGTCTTGTTGATTTTTCTTCTCGAGTTTGTTGCTGCTGTGGTTGTGGATTGCACCTGCCATTGAAGAACACAATGTGGGATGCACAGAATCTCTGTGACAGAGGGAGTGAAGAAGGGAAGCAGACTTAGAAGTTAAGGAAAAGCACGAAGCTGAGATAAGGACATGCCAAGAAAATATATATGTGAGCAAATATGAACCTTGTTGTTATTATTATTTTGGCTTTATAATTTGCTTTCTTTACTTTACTTTGTCAAGGAAAATACCATGCCTAACCTTGTCTTTATGCCATATGCCAATGGCGCCTTTTTTCTCTTGGATCAATCTTAAGAATATAATAATGTTTAATCTAAACATAATGTGTGTTTATTAATTTTTTTACTAACTAATTGTCATAAATCTTGTACGAAAAATATTCTTATAAATCCATATGAATGAGAATATGGAAATGGAATTGGCTATATCTAGTATATGATCAGCATGGTAGCAATGTTGCCATGTTGGTTTAGCATGCAGAGAAAGGGACATATTGGGAAATTGAGAAAAGAAAAAGAAAGGTGCAAATGGTTAGCGTTGGATGTAGTCACGAGTGATGATTCCTCTTTTGGACTGCTTACGCTAGTTTTCGTTGGAATGTTGGCTGTTAAATTATTTGAAAAAGAAAAAAAAAAAAAAAGGGAAATTCGAGGGTGCGTTCGCAGCCATGGAGGGATGCTCTCTTTTTTTTTTTTTTTTCTTATCTACGTCGTTTTTGATTACTTGGAATCCCATTTTTGGGTGGTGTAAGATTCTCTTAAAGGTTACGCAGTGTTCCAATCTGGATGTAAGATTTTATTATTACAGAAAGTATTGTTTAAATTAGAAATTAAAGGGAATGGAATAAGCTGATCTCAACTAGCAATTTGACTGGTATTGCGCATATATACTGCCAGACAGAAATTCTCCAGACCGATCGAGGCATGTGATCACCAATGAGCAAGGAAGTTCTTGCAATGGAGCCTTATTCCATAGTTAATGCACATTCAATTCTCCAACATTTCCCAAAGCTGCCATAATTTAACCCCGTTCAACTAATATCCCCCAATGGCATCGAGTTTAAACACCCATCTAATACAAATATAATAACCTAAGAGTTATAATTTATTTGTTAAAAAAAATTTCAGATCAATCGAGTATAAGTTTTTAAACTTACATTAATATAAAAAAATTCTTTCCTATATATTAAATATTTAAAGAGAAAAACTTTGTTATTCACATCCATCTTATTTTTTTTTGAAATTAAATTTAGAGAAACAAAAAGTTTTCGTAATTTATCTTTTTTAGTTTTGAAAAATGTATTGTCAATAATGAAACAATTTTTCTAATATAGGTTCAAGAATAAGTATTAAATACCTTATATAAATGCTTTACATTATTATAAAAATATGTATTGAATATATTATTCTTTATAATTTTAAGATAATAAATGTTTTTATTTTTTAAAAAATTATTTTAATTTCTTAACATGTGTCTTTTGAGTACATAAATTTTTAGAAGTTTAAATAATATTATTTAAATTAAATAATAATAAACAAATAAATTATTGAGAAAAAAAGTAGTGAGACTCCAAAAGCACTTGACTAGTAGTAGCTTTGGAGTTATCTGTGTTTTTCCTTTAATTTTATTTAATATATGCAGTGAGACTGAGAAAAGGACAAAAAGAACCCCCGAAGTTGCGCATCTTCGGATTTTCACGATTGATTGTTGTCATTTTCATTATGTGGAATAACCAAAATCAGAAAGAATATCGAAATGTAATTTTTAACAGGACATAATTTTGCGTCAACGAGCAATTCTGTTTCCATCTACATTTATTTGATCCTTTATATTTTTCTTCAACCTTTTATATGAAAGATATAAGAGGCTATCTTATTATAAGGCTAAAACATTTTTCAGCAATTGCTTTCCGTATTTACATGCCAATACCAAAATAATTTACTAATAACAGGAAATTAATTTTAATCTTTTGACCAAAATATTTTGATTATTATTACTAGAATCAATCCCATGGAAAGTATTACATTATTACATTAACTGTTCTCAATAGATTGGACTCGCCAAACGATAGCTCGTTTAAGCGAATCAAGCTTTTTTTTTTTTTTTTTTCTGTCCCAAACTCTTCTCTCATCTGTTCTTTTCTCAACCCCTCCCCTCCCCTCTCTCTTTCCTCGTAGTTCTTCTTCTGGCTCTCCACTTTGAGCCTTTCTCCTTCACCTTTCTCTTAGCTTCTTCCTTCTGCTCCCTCCACCTTCATCCTCTATATTCAAAAAAATCTAAACCCCTGATGTTGTAGATAAATGGTGAGGAGAGCTTAAGGGAGAAGCTGAGAGGCAAATAAAGGAGGAGAGGTGTAGAGTTAAAGGGAGAACTGAGCGGGAAGAGTGGGAGGAGGCTGACAGCAAGGGGCTAGGGAGAGCACGGAAGAGAGAAGAGTTTGGGACCCAGAAAAAGTTAAATTCGCTTAAGTCAACTTAAAATTGCTTAAGCTAGTAAAATTGGATGTTGAGTTCCCACATTAATTGCATTGTTTCCGGAACCGCCTGAATCTCTCAACATAACAATTAACCAATATCTACAAGTATCACACACTCTTTTGCTATTTGAATCCAGTAATTGATTTGATGCAAATAACTCTTCTTATTTGTACAAACACACGACTTCTCTCTATATATTAGATATTGTTTAACAATCAAGTGTAGTGTGCGTTTGTTTTTCTTCTTTCCCAAAGATTCTTCTTTAATGCCATTCAATTCACCAACAGTGCAGCATCGAACATGTAGGTGATCCATCAAGTATTGTGGTACTTTCTCCACTGTCTCTGATACTCCTTGATTTCTTTGGATAATTAAATCTTCGAATAACTCTTAGCATCCTCAATACCATCGATTTCTATATTCTATTCTTCGTTTGGCCAGAGAGGAAGTAGAAGGTACAGAAATAGAGTAAGAATAAAGAAAAAAAAAATCTGATGCCAGACTTGGCTGAGATAAAAGAAAACAAGTAAATTTTTTTTTTTTTCAATTTATATGAATATAAAAAATAAAGAGTTAGCGAAATGAATAAATTACAATAATATTTTAAAAAATATTTAATTTTTAATATTATATAAATATATTGAATAAAATAAAAAACAAAAATCCCTTCCTCCTCATATTTAATAAAATATATTTTACTTCTTTCCCTTCCTCTGTCGAAGCTAAGTTTTAAAGATGATATTATATCAGTTTTGCCACATCGACCTCCCAAGTTAATGTGGCTCAACTTGCGAACGACGTAAATTTTAACGTGTTTTCAACAATAGCAAAGAAGAAAAACTCATGAATTAGTTGACAAGAATTGGGAATTAGAGAGATAAACACGCACAGAAGAATAGGAAAAGAAGTTATCCTACATTCTATTGTTGTAAAGGAAAAAACTACAAACACATGTAGAGCAAATTATGCATTCGTTAAACTCAACTCTCCTAATTCTCTTAGCAGTGGTCCCTTTTTTTTTTTTTTTTTTTTTTTTTTCTATTCCTACAGCGAATCTCTTACGTTAAAGTTGCAGATTTAATAATTTAAATATTGTTCCTTAATTATTAAGAAGCCTTATTAACATTTCACAATAAACATGACTTTCTAATATATTTATATACACAAGCTAAAAATGGAATATATTAAAAAATTTACGAAATAATAAATTTAAAATAGTAAAAGAAGAATAACAGACGTAAAATTATAAATTCTTACACAAAGTCTTCTTTTCACAAAAGTTCACAACTCCTCGACTAATTAAATGTTCCTGTTAAAAAAATTGAAAATGAATCACAAAATATATAAAAAGTTGTAAAGAAAAACCTATTTGATATGAATAATGAGATTAAGCCTATTAACATTTCACGTGCTTAAAAATAGAAAAGAAAGAAAATTTTCTTTGTATAACTCTTTAGAACTAATTTGTTGGCACCCTCTAAAGTTTTATGTAAAACTTATGTAAAGGTCAAGTGCTTTTTGTTAGAGCAATTATCAACACCTATTTTCAATCCAAAGAATAAAAATAAGGACTATTTAAACATATATAACAAAAGATAAAACAAAGCAAATTCCAAATCTCAAGTTTTACCTAGAAATTTAAAAAGCCCAATAATGCTGCATCCTTCACTTCTTTCATTTTCTTCGGTTGTATGTGGCGGAGGATAAAATAGAAAAATCGTAGTAAGGGATGTTACCACAAGATACACCAATCTTTTCATCGCCTTGTCGCTTCACAATCTCAGTCTGCAAACACAACCAAACAAAAAACCCAAAAGGTGAGATCTGAGGGATTTTTACCATTAAAGTGATATATGGATAGATAGTTATAATTTAGCTAGTTGTTAACATTGATAACCATTTTATATCAGCAAAAATTTACCATTTTTTAAAATCAAAATGTATACTTAATTTTGAGTTTTGATGTGCAAGTTTTAGTGTTAAAACCATAGTAATGCATTTGCAATACATTGTTGTCACTGCTTTCTAAGTTATCTCATAACAAGCAAAGCAAAGTGAAATCAATTGTACTAGGAAAGCAACTTACTTGGTGATATGGAAAAATTGTTCGAGAGAATGAAATTCAAAGATGTGAGAATTTGATATAATAAGATATATGCTTGCAATAAAATGAGAAGAGAAAGTCAACTAAAGATTAGATACTTCTAGGTTTCTAAAGAAGAATAGAAGATGTATTTAAGACACTCGTAGCTATGATATGATTCTCTTACAGTGAATGAATTTATACTATATAATTCACTCATTACAGTTACATTTAAAGACAGATAAAAAAAATAAAAATTAAAGATGCGACCTAGCGTAATTTACGGCATGTGTGACATACAGAACAACTTATAAATAATCTAATAATTTAAAATGAAAAATAAGTTGGTGAAAGGTAGACAATCATACTTTCAGCATGACTAATATATGGTCCTCTAAATGATACTACATGTCAATGCAAAATTGTTACATGAATGCCATATGAAAGATAATTATGAATCATTAATTCACTCACGTGATTTGCTGTGGAACACATAATTTAAGGCATGAATGACTTGTGGTGAAACCTTTAAAGGTCTCATTTACTTAAATAATATTATCA